ATTCTGCAAGGGTATATCAACTTCGGCTCCGCCCGAAGTTAGCTTTCCATTCTTGTTTTTGTTCTTTTCGGTTTCGGTAAACTCTGACTAAGTCATGTCGTACTTCGTCTTTTTTTTTTAGCAAAACGAAAGAAGTAGCAAAACCTACACCTCTAGTCGACGAGCCAAGCCGGAGAACAATTCGCATAATCGCTTTTTTCCATTAACAGCTTAGCCTGCGTAATTGTGAATGTTCGTTACACCATATGTAAAATAAAATGGGTTTATATTTAAAATTAAGTCAGGAAATATTAGAATTGAAAAAATGTAATTTATAATAATAAATGGATTGTGTCCAACTTCTCTCTAAATCGGTAATGTAAATTCTTAAAATTTAAAGGTGCTATTTTTTGCTCTGGCATTTATGGAAACAATAAAAAACGTAATTTACTCTTAATAAAATGTGTTAAGAAAGCTTAATATGGCGGTCCATACTCTGGAGAAAATTGCCGAGTTAATTTTTTAAACTAGTGTAATTAAAAAACAGAATTCAAACAGTATTTACTTTACTTTATTATATACTTTAGTATTATGTAGTATAAGTATGTGGTTTATGATTACAGAATATTTGGTATGAAATTGTTATAATAATAGATTTAGATCCAAATATTGGTATACCTGGCTTCGGTATTCCATGCGTTCAGTAGTAATCTAGCAAATAGTAGATGAGTGATAGAGTTTGTAGTGAAAATTAAAAAAAAAAACCTACCAAACCCGAGATGTACATATGCACTATGGCTGATCAAATCGTATTTATAGGAGACGTTCAAGTATGCTTCATCAATGTCTTCTACCTGCGAGAGAAATATTTTTAATAGCCAAACCCTTGACTTATTATAATGCTTACATGGATGTTCGGGACAATGAATCTTTCATGTAGAGTAAGTTTTAGCGGTTTTTGAAGAGAAGGATTCCGTACAGCTTTCAAAATTGAGTAAATTTTGCTAACAGGGTTTATATCCTCATCCTCCTCCCCTCGGCAGTATTTCCACGTGACGTAATCGAGCTTTTGACAAGATTCAAAAATCGGCAACAGGCTATCTGTATATATCTGGACTCTAGTACACTCATCTATACATAATGATTCAAGATCACTTAGTTTCCCTAATTCTGATAGGTTACTGCAACATTGGTTGTAGGTAATATTTAGTTTCTTTAATGACATAATTTGCGATATTTCATGAATTTCATCATTACATGTAATTGGTGTCTGCAGTTCTTGTAAATTTGAGTCACTTCTAAGAGCAAATGCACGGTAAAGTTCACTGGGCGAGTCCTCTGCTGCATAGATGATCAATTCCTTTAGATTTTTTATGTTTGCCAAAACTTCTATACCCTGACTTTTGCCCAATTTGCATTTCAATGACTCCAATGTTTCAAGTTGGGCTAAATATTTACATTCATTTAATCCAATTGAGTTATTGGGTAAGTCCAATTTTTGAAGAGTTGACGGCGATTTGTGTACCAAAACCCTAAATAAAATTTCCAAAGGGTTCACTTCATTATTATTAACATGATCGATTACCAAGTGCTGAAGATTGGGTAATCGGTCTAACATTTGCGCACATTCTGAGTCGTGGAATCCCGCACGTAAACTTTTCAGGCTTTTTATTTCAGTTATTTTAGTCATTTCCGAAATGTTAATAGTTTTTGGGATAAATTCCCATGGATCGCGAATAATGTCCAGGTGCTGCAACCTAGTTGCACTACTTGAGGAAAATGCTGCAAAAAATGTTTGTAGTGATTGGTTTGGATTTTGTACTATTACAATTAATTCTTCAATACTCGAGTTGGCTAGCTCGGACAAGGAATGGAAATCCTCATTGTCCGAAAAGCCACACTTCAGTGTTTTTAGCGACTTTATTCGGGAAACCTGTATAACCTCTTCGGGAACGAGTTCTCCGGAATATTCAAATCGTTGAAATATATTCCTTTCAGCCAGCTTTGTGAAGAGAGCGGTAAGGCTTCCTTTTCCGGTTAACTCCAAGTCCTGGAGATTATTTAGTTCAGCCGATTTCTCAATTCCAGATAATTCTGATAGGTTGCACGACAGTTTCTTAATGGTTTGAATTTCTGACACTTTTGAAATATATGAAAATTCTATATTATCATTATTACGAATTTCCAATTCTTCGATCGTACTTTTGTTGGTGGCCAATGCTTGAAAAATTAAATTAAGTGTTTCATTAATTTGATACCCTGATATGTCGTGGATGTGGCTAAAACCTTTTCCCATATAAATCTTCAATTTTTTTCCATTCTTTCTCAAGGTAAAATCTTTGCAAGCGATGGAAACTTGCTTCTGACTTTCACTTAGTAGGTTGAGGGCTTGCTCTGATGTATGCGAATTGATGGCTTCGTGTACATTAATAATAAGGTGTTGCAGGTTTCTTAATTGACTGAAAAACTTGATCGAATACCATTCAGACAAATGGCACGCCAGAAATCGAATGGATTCTATTTTTGCAAGTTCTAAGACCTCCAATCTATCTAATGATATATGCCTTATTTTGATAGATTTTAAAGCAAATGAGCCTTTTGGGACCATTGATTGGAGGAATTCTGAAAGTGAATTGGAATCTTTTAAATTATAAGGTTCATTTTTTATAAGCAAGCGACTTAGATTGGGCCATTTTGATAAATAACCCATTTGGCTCATGTCCGACTCTTCATGTATCTTTATTCCAAGTTTCGCTTCATTTCTATCAAACTGAATTGATATATTCTCACTTAAAGGTGTGGTTGCTAAAGATTCCTCAATTGGATTAGCTTCTTTTAATGTTTCACATAAATCGTACGCAGTTGTAATAAATACTTTGATATAATAAGATTGGTTTATTTTCAAAAATAGCAAAGATTCCGAAATTGGAAACTTTATTGTCCTGGTTTTATCGCTTAAATGATCTTCAATGGTCAAAGGCAAAGGTGGTAGACTTCTAGGTCTGTGCAATTTTCTTAAATCATTGAAAAATATCAATTGTGATTCGCTTTCTTGGACTCCACAAATAATAAATGTTTGTAAATTGGGCAGCAATACCACCGATGCATATTGGGCAGCACCGCCACCCGGGCTCAGCTGAATTCTCAGCTCCCTAAGATTTTCGCAATGGAGTTCGATACCGGAAAGACTCCCATGGATTTCAGTGCCTTCAAATTCCAAGTTTATCAAATTTGGCATCAAGGTGCAGATGTTAGCTAACGCTTCTGCCGTAAAATTAGCGTTTAAGTTAAACTTTAACTTTACCTCCTCAGTGATCGGAGAGATCGGGTTGCCTTAAAAGGAAATAAGTTTAAAATTTATTGATAAAAGGCAATGAGTCCTACCATCATACTGCTCTGCTGTAGATTTATATAACAAGATAATGTAATTTTAAGACATTTAATTATTAAATTTTTAAAGATTTATTGTTATTTCAAATCTATATTAACTTACTTATTTCGTATATATAAACGCAGGCTTGATCCTCTTCGATTATATTGCCAAAATATAGTTTAACAAAGAAAGGATGTTTTTCTCTGATAGATTTGAGGAGGGATACCCAGAAAACTTTATTTCTGTTTGATAACTCATTGACTTGTAAATCAATCAGTAGCTTTGTTATCCTGCACGTCAGAACCAAATCAAGATCCTCGTACAAACTTTTGAAACAAGTCTCAAGCAGTTCCAGGAAAAGTTCATGAGCCAACACAAAGTTTATTAAATCATCATACTTTGACTGTTTGTCCCATTGGTCTTTCAACTCGCAATCAGCTTTTACGTAATTCATTATCTCCAAGAGGCAGTCGCAGTTCAGAATAAATTCGACATTCTCATCCATTTCTTAGGCTGATTACTTAATCACCAATGATTCGTATGAGCTTTTTGAGTTTAGAAGATGTTTATAATTGTTTATAATTAATCTTCAATCGTGGATTGTATTTGATGTGACTTTATTGCTGTGAACCACTATTTTTAAACAATCACAAATTATGCAATTACAGTACAACTTCCATGTGACCGATTTTCAACTTCTAAATGTTGCATTTTAGATATTTGTTTTAAATAAATATAAAGGTTATTAAAGAGACTTGCAAAATATTTTATATTATTTCTGAGCCGCTGTTAAAAGTTGACTGTTTCGGGCTACGATCTTGAGCTAAATGAGTTCGACGCTAGCATTTCTCAGATAAGAGTATGAAAATGCACATTCACTTACATTTATCATTCATTCTGACGTATTCCCAAATTTAAAGCTTTTTTATAAGAAAGGGAGATTGGGATTGTGCACAGTGGAGTACGCCGGCTCTCTACAAGGGTATTTTTACAAAAAATCCCAAGTACATTTTAAACATAGACTCGATTATACAAGTAGGATAGCCAATTTCAAAACAAATATATGATGGCGCACTTAGACAATTGCAGAGCCAAACCGCAACCTAAGAGCGGACAGCACCCAGTGTCCCCGCTAACTGCTCTTGACCACCGTTTTTCAAAAATGACATGGGATTTAAAATGCTATTGGTAAATAGAAATGACCAAAACAGTTTTCAAGTGCAGTTCCAATATATACCGCGCGAATGGCCTTACCATGTCTCCAGAAATTTTGATCCTGATCGAAACTTTTGGGTTGGGAACGCTTCCCCCCGTCTGTTACATATTATAATGCTGAAACAATAATTCTTCCAGGTCTTCGTTACAAAATAAGATTTATATATTTTTTCGGGTTCATTCGAATTTGAACTGGCTTTTAAGTTACGGTTTATTCAACGAAGCGAATACTGCAACTGTTCCTGTTTATTTAGTTTAAAAATAAAACTTTCATACATTTTTTATCATTTGCTGCGATAAACACAGATTTGTACATATTGATCTATTTAACTTGAACAATATTATTTCCTCCTTTGTTAGCAACGGCAACCAAGCAACTGTCGCTGAATAAAATATTAAATGTCTTGTTTTCAAACAGAAAACAAGCCGGCTTAAAACCTTCAAAGCATTTCGCACAAAACCGACACAACCTCCCTTATAAGTTACATTTGGAGACCTATATTTTACTATAATCCATTCAAAATGGGAGATGCCCAGGAAAGCTGCAGACAACTGCTTCCGCGTGCGATCTTTGGGATCAACGGAAAAGTGGAGAATGGAGTGCGCCAGCATCCGGTAACTGGATCCATTATCTTTCCACTTGGGAACAAAATAGGTATCGCTGACTATAAGAAAAACACCCAGGAATTTGTAGCAGGACATACAAATACCATATCATGCCTGGATCTCAGCAAGAGCGGCAAATACATGGCCTCCGGTCAGATAAATCACATGGGCTTTCGGGGCTATGTGATCATCTGGGATTACGACCAGCGAAAGGAGATCTCCCGACATGATCTTCACAAGGTCTCGGTGCAGGCCATATGCTTCACGGCCGAGGATCGCTGCGTGGTGTCCATTGGAGGCGTGGATGACGGATCCGTCATCGTTTTCGACATGGAGGCCTTGTGGGTGACTTAATCGAAAATTCAGCCTGAATCCAAATAACTCTTTCCTCCATTCCAGCTCTCCCATTTGCCAAACACCCGCCTCGAGGGCTATATCCGGAAATGCATTGACAATCCGGCCGATGCACAATAACCCGTACTTTTTTGTAACTGCCGGGGATCGGCATCTGCGCCTGTGGAGCATTCTACGCGAGGAGAAGAAGCTTTACGTTCAGGATGTTCTGATGGCCAGCAAGACAAGGGTTTTCTACTGTGCGCGCATCAATAAGACGGATGAATTTGCCTACTTGGGCACTGGAACCGGTGATATAGTGAAGATCGTTCTTAACTGCTGCGATCGCGATCATGTGAGCAAGCAAGGATCCACCAGCTGCATCCTGGGAGCCTTTGGCACCCACAATCCCCGAAAGCCATCCGGCAGGGATTGTAATCGCTATGTGAATGGTGTACGAGCTTTGTATGTCCTGGAAGGAGGACGTTTACTAATTGGAGCTGGAAATGGGGATATTGAGCTAGTGGAGGAGCGAACTGATGTGCCGCTAATTAACTTCAGGGATTATCCAGGTCCCACGTGGCCATATCTGCGCACCCTGAAGAAGACTCATGTTTCTGGAAGGATTTCATCGTTTGTGCGCTCCAAACCGGAGTCATTTTACATCTGCACGGACACAAACGAGATCTATGGACTTAATATCAAGACCTGGGTGCTCAAACTGCTGCGAACATGCCACACCAAGTCGGTCTACTGCATCACGTTTCCAAAGTGAGTCAATATTTTGTGACGATATGCCAGTCCGATTCGTATGCTTTTGGCGAGGAAAACTTCATTTTAGTGCGAAGTTTGCAACGCAGTAAAGACCTTTCCGACCACGTAAAGTATATTTATTCTTGATCAGGATTATCTGCCAGATACAGCTACGAATATAAATAGAAACAGTGGAATTTATTGCAACTTAGGCTTACTTATTTCTTGTTTAAATAACTCTTTATTCTTCTACTTAAAGGAATTACTCGGGAGTGTTTGCCACATCTGGCAAAGAGTGCATCCGCATCTGGTCTTCGGGGCGCAAACAGGAGCTGCTCCGCATCATGGTCTACAACTTCAACTGTGCTTGTGTTCGATTTACCCACGATGGAACCAGTATTGTCTCTGTATGGAATGATGGAATTATACGAGCCTTTACTCCTATCACCGGAAGACTCATCTATGCTATTCCCAATGCTCATAATAAAGGTAAACATTTGTATTTTGTAATTGTAAGGTATACTTATTCAAAACCTAATATTAAATAACAGGATGCAGTGCTTTGGCCGTAGCGTCCACGGGTCGTCTAATTATCACGGGCGGCATTGAGGGGCAAGTGAGGGTTTGGAAGATAGATCCCTATCGCCAGGATCTTTTGGGCGTGCTGAAGGATCACTCGGGACCCATAACGTCGCTGGATATCAATTACCTTGACACCGAAGTGATCTCCGCCTGTACCGATGGTTCTTGTGTGATCTGGGATATAAAGTGAGTCAAGAATAACAACCATTTGAATTAATTTAAGTATATTATACCCAATCCTCGACAGACGCATGACTCGTAAACAAGTGGTAACTGCCAACACTCAATTTATGTCTGCTTCCTATTTCCCAACCGGAGTCCAAGTGATCACCTGCGGTTCGGACGGCAGGATCATCTACTGGATGGTGTACAATGGAGCCTTGATCAGGGAACTCACTGCCTCCAAGAAGTCATCGGTTAATTGCCTGGCCATTAACGAAACTGGGGACTACTTCATCAGCGTCGGCAGCGATCTGCAGGTCAAACTCTGGGACTACAACAGTGGTTCTGTGGTGGGATTGGGTTCCGAGCACGCCTCCTCGGTGATCAGCTGTGCCTATAGTCCCTGCATGACCATGTTCGTCACTGGCAGCACGGACGGATCGCTGATTATCTGGGATGTGCCGCGGGACTTTTGGGGCAGGCCCAATCCGCCAGATGCAACCAAATACTCGCTGCCCAAGACATCGTCCAAAACGAGGATGAGTGAGGTGCCGGCCAGAGTGAATTCCGGCACAAATCTGAAGACGCCAAAGGGCGAGAACATCGACGGGCTGCTCAAGGCCACACCCAAGGACGATCTCTGCTGCGTGGAGTGCCCGCCCTGCGCCAAAAAGGAGGCCAAGGCCTCCGATGCTTTCGCCGAGTGTGGAATAGTGCCGGACGTCAGGAAGTGCTGAGCCCTATTCGTTTGAGTTCCCTTTATGTCCTGAAATAAATGCTGTTTTTCTTCTGTCAGCTGGATTGAAGTATTATATTATTCAAATTTCCGATTCAATTAGTCTTATTAAAAATTTAATGGAATAATCAAATTTGTGTGTAAAATCCTCGTACATTCCGTATAATTTTAATTTCAATATCTTAAAAATTATTGTTGACTTAATTTAAGTTTTAATTAACCAACAGATAGGTTAATTTTAAATTTTATCCAAGTTACATTTTTGAACAGTATACAAATTATTTTAGATCTTAATATTTTTATTCTTTTTATTGTTTAGTAGTACATATATTTTTTATAATTTGACAACGGTATAGTATGAAAGCCTAAATTAAATACACATTTTTGCTTAAAATATTAATAAGAATACGAATATTTAAACTTTAGTAAGGAATATTGAATTTAAGATTCTGTATTAATATGCATTTTAAAAACTAATAAATTTTAAATAATAAATGTTTTGTATTTAATAATTCTATGAATTAATTTCTAAATGCACTGGACTGGTTGCATGAAGTACCAAAGATATAGTAAAATTAGTTTTCTAATTGCTAAACAAAAGTTGGAAAGATTCTTAGACTAAAAGTTTAAGATTTATGGTAAAAAACTGCACAAAATAAAAAAAAAACTTCAATTGTAACTAAAATTGTTTTCAATGGTTTTCAAATATTGACCGTCTCGCGCAAAAGTGTGACCGTTTCGGGCATGCGCGGTATATTGGCGCAAGTGGCGCGGCGGTCACACGGCACTACCATTGGCCGGCGTTGGCTCGTAAACTTAGCGCGTTCGGGTGGGTGGTTAGTGGTAGTGTGGAGTAGTTATTGTTTTTCCGTCGCGGCGTAGAGTTGACTAATCCGACCGACCGACCGGACCGGACCGCTTCAATTAAAAAGCACGCGACACTCGCCGGAAAAAAAAGGGAAAACGGGCTGAGGAAAGGGAAGGAAAAGCGAACGGTAACAGCAAAACAAAACAAACGACGAAAAGCAGTGCGAAATGAAGGTCTGCTGCATTGGCGCTGGATATGTCGGCGGTCCGACTTGCGCGGTAATGGCGCTCAAGTGCCCCGATATCGTGATTACCCTGGTGGACAAGAGCTCCGAGCGGATTGCCCAGTGGAATTCGGATAAATTGCCCATTTACGAGGTTGGTTATTTTGACTCACGTTTGTATGTACATAGGAAGTGCCCCCGCATAAATGTTTGTGTGTGTGTGTATTTGTGCCTGTGGGAGAGGAAGAGGGAGAGCAATGGGTCTACTCGTATGTGTGTGCTCTCACGCCTTGGCCTTGCAGTTTTTTTTTGTTTAGTTTCCACTAATCCTAAACAAACAAAACATCAATCAATACCGAGATCCATCGAGAAGAACTCAAAACGTCGATGACCGCTCATGCCCAAGTCGGTAAAACCCCCTCCAGCACCCTCCAAAATAAACCAGTTCCCATGCACAGAAAAAACCACAGACATATTCTGTGATTTTTGATTACATCCAGAATTTATTTGGAAAATCGCCACATAAATTAGGAAAAAAATGGCCACTTACCAAACCCATTCTTGGTTTTTTTTGTGATTAAAAAAGTTCGATAGAAAAAACTTTATTGAAAATTAAGAAAGCGTCTAGTTTTAATCGGTTCACATTTTTAAAGCCATATTAAATGGGTACCTCTGATATTATTATATTAAAATATGTGACATTTTTCTAAAGGAACATTTAACAATAATGTGATTACATATGTGATTTTTAAAATTTAAAATTTTGCTTAAAAATATTTAGTTCTGTTCTATCTCAAGACTCAACTAACTAACAACATAGCTTGTCAATGGTTGCGATCTAGCTGTGACTCAATTACATTACATTATTATTATAATAAATGTGATTACATTTTAAATCAAAAATCATATATTATATTTCTCTCTCTGTAGTCAGTCTTCATAAAAACCTCGGTGCGTGCTTGGCATTTTACTAGACTCTCAGGTGTTTAACGCACTTAGCCCACAACAAGGTCAATGGTCAGTCATAGTGTTACGGCCATTAGTCATTCAAAACAAACTATAAAAACTCGCAGAGCCAAATGATTGCTGAAATATGATTCGGGACGGAAAACAAGCGTGGGAATCGATTTTACTTTCCAGACTGCGTGACCATAATGCCCAAGCCTCGATTCCATATACTAAATGCGCCACGAAGCCATAAGGTGTAATCGGGGATTAGCCGGCATATTCTAGCACGTCACATATGTATTCTCTTTTCCATTTTTACTGTCGCATTTCCGTCCTGGCTTCCGCCTGCCCCCATTCGTTATACTCAGTTCCCCGCTCTTCTTATCAAGTCTGCGCCAAAACAGAGTCTTGGGTCGAGATAAGCACATTGGGCAGGGCGTTTAGCGGTATTGCGGGAGCACATTAGTTGGAAATTGTCCAATTACCCACGTTCTCGCCAAACACCCAGTATCTCTGGAGGAAAAACCGTAAAAAAATATTATACAAAACCCAAACACAGTCAAACCTTCATGACTCGAACAAAATTTAGTTACATATGTAGGCTTTGCTTTGCAGTACAATTTATTTTTAGGTCTGTTGAATTGCTTTTTATCAACCAAAACCATTTTACTCTAAAGCTCTTAAAAAATTTTTGTTTTGTTTTAATGTAGCTCTAGTTTATCTTACTTCTGCAATATTTGAATGGTTCTTTTTCCTTCAAATAATATTTTTTAAAACTACTAGACTTTGTCAAAACAATTTTGTGTATACTTTTGGGACGGGCAATAAAATATCAAGTTCTTATGACTCTTTTCCTGAGATGTATAATGAGCATAAATTGTTTCCAAAGACAAAATGTGTATCCTTTTTTTTATTGACTTGCAAGAAAGACATTTTTGAAATTTGACTTACTGAAGTTCGACTGTAATATATAGTAAATTATACACACATAGACAATGGGCAAAAACACGGCATTGAGTTCTGTCGTACCCACAGAGGCTGTTTAGCACACATTCCACTCTTCATATTGATATTTACTTACCAAGATTGCATCATCGCCAGCAAACATAGTGGCCATAACTTGAAGTACTCAAATGCAATTTGTTGAAAATATCAATGCGGCCTTGTCAGCAACATCCTCTTGTTTTGCAATTGCACAATTAGCTATTGACACATTTTTTCCATCTGTTGCCAATATTTCCTAGTCAGTGTACTCATTATCGTTTTCTTCATTTTGCAACACAACGCAAAAACTTATCAGTCATCGACATGATAGTAGTCTATTCATATATTTTTAGAAACTGCCCTTAAATAACATGTCTTTTTAGTTTTATCTTGTCTCCGTTGATTAATTAAATTCAATTTGCTCTTATAGCTAAAATGCCGATTATTGTTAGAATTCATACGAAAAAGCCAAAGATAAATTCGTTGGCGATGATTCTCAGATTTCATACGAAAAAGCCAAAAGAAAAAACAGTTATTAACACCTGTCTCCAAACAGTCCATATAAATACATATGCAAATTTGCCTGCTCACAAAACGAGTTCAATGAACATTCAAATCGTATCAGAAACGGAAATAAGTCTGGCTGAAAGCTTTATATGAAAGGGGGAATAAAAAATTCGTGCAAATATTGCATAAGCGTGAGTAGTCATGGGAAGACCCTATCCTACAATTTATTAATTAATCACTAAACGTTTCAAAAGTGGACCACTCAAAGTGGTTTTTCAGCACGTAAACAGAACTATACTGGGGTTAATTGGGAGATAGCTTTCTTAGGAAACGGAATCGGATAAGGTCCACGTACCAACATCTATAGAAGGGGTATAATCTTATCGGTAGACGTTCCTACGAACGTCACCAACTGTTCGGCTTTGGGAGTGGGTCGTGATTGGCATAACAAAAAAAAAGAAAACTAGGCCAACAAGTTGTACAATTTATAAAATATTTTAATGAGGTATGTCTGTCGTTTCTAGCCCGGTCTGGATGAGGTTGTGAAGAAGTGCCGCAATGTGAACCTCTTCTTCTCCACGGACATCGAGACGGCCATTAAGGAGGCGGACCTCATCTTCATCTCGGTGAACACGCCCACAAAGACCTGCGGCAATGGCAAGGGTAAGAACAATTATGCAAATATTTACAAGATGATATGAGTGAACACCTTTAAGTGAGGTCTTACTGCATAAAATATAGTCAAAGTCTAGGTTTTATTTCAAATTGGAGGTTGAAACCTGTTGATTTATAGCCATGTTTGTCTAAAGTGGCCAATAAAAATGTTTGAAGCGAAACTAATTAAAATCATGCTGAGAAAAAAATAATACCTAAATCAAATTTTAAAAAAGTTTCTATTGTCTATTAGCTCGGAAATATGTAAGTAAAATAGCTAATACTATGGCGCCATATGCCATTTAAAAAGTATAATTTAGCATTTTTCTTAATAACACAACAAATATAATGAAAAGAAATTTGAATTGTTTAAATGTTTACTTAGCTGGGTCTTTGATAAATAGATTGTATCAATATTGAAATAATAAGAAAAAAAAAATTTCATATTTATAAAGGAAAGAAAGTTTTTAGTAAGATATTTTATGATTTAAATTATAATTTAAAAAACATTTTGAGATGCTTATATTGGGAAATGCTCACTTAAAGGGCACTCACTCTTTTGATCGTGTTTTAACATAAAATAAATTACACATTACATACATTTCTCAGGTCGAGCCGCAGACCTTAAGTACGTAGAGAGTGCAGCCCGAATGATCGCCGAGATCGCGCAGTCCAACAAGATTGTGGTGGAGAAGAGCACGGTGCCTGTGAGGGCGGCGGAAAGCATTATGCACATACTGCGGGCGAACCAAAAGCCCGGTATCCACTACGACATCCTGTCCAATCCAGAGTTCCTGGCTGAGGGCACCGCCATCAATGATCTTCTTAATGCGGATCGCGTGCTAATCGGCGGCGAGGAGACGGCCGAGGGACATCAGGCGGTGGAGAAGCTGTCATGGATATACGAGCACTGGATACCCAAGGAAAACATTCTCACTACCAACACGTGGAGCAGTGAGCTATCCAAGTTGGCGGCAAACGCTTTTCTGGCCCAGCGCATCTCCAGCATTAATTCGCTGTCGGCAGTGTGCGAAGCCACTGGAGCCGATGTCTCCGAGGTGGCGAGGGCCGTGGGTCTGGATTCCCGCATCGGTTCCAAGTTCCTGCAGGCCTCCGTGGGTTTCGGCGGCAGCTGCTTCCAGAAGGACATCCTCAACCTGATCTACATCTGCGAGAACCTCAACTTGCCGGAGGTGGCCGCCTATTGGCAGCAGGTAATCGATATGAACGATTACCAGAAGCGTCGATTCTCCCAGAAGATCATCGAGAGTTTGTTTAATACTGTTTCGGACAAGAGGATAGCCATCCTGGGATTTGCTTTCAAGAAGAACACGGGTGATACCAGAGAAACCGCAGCCATAACCGTATGCCAAACTCTTCTGGAAGAAGGCGCCGCTCTAGATATCTACGATCCTAAAGTGGAACCCGAGCAGATCATCGACGACCTCACGCATCCAAGCGTCACGGAATCCCCGGAGAAAGTGAAGAAGGCTGTGCAGATCCACAGTGATCCCTACAGTGCTGTTCGAGCCACTCATGCCCTGGTTATCTGCACGGAGTGGGATGAGTTTGTGGATCTTGACTTCAAGCGCATATACCAATCGATGATGAAGCCGGCGTACATCTTCGATGGACGCAAGATCCTCGACCACGAGAGGCTGCAGCAGATCGGCTTCCACGTCCAGACCATCGGCAAGAAGTACCAGCGCGCTGGACTTCTCCGCTCCTGGGGAATTGTGCCGCAGCTTTAGGCGCGAAGGGCGGCGGAGGTGGTGGCATTTACACTTAAAGTTGGCGAAATTTCCAGTATTTGCGAGACTAAATTGTAAATATCTAGCTATCTGTTTCTGTATTTGAGTATGTGTTAGAATGGGTCAATTTGAAAGTCAAAAAATAGTTGGGAAGGAAAGTAATCTGAGAATAATTCTATGAAAAAATATTTGACCTTGTAGTTATTATATTTTGACCCTGCTTAATTTAATGTCTAAATAGAAAAGTGTCGATAAGCAAGAAAAATGTTCAACTAAACTCGTTGCTCCATTCATTCCTATGAAGTAAAATGTGAAAAGAATGAATGATGAAGTATAATTTCAACATATCTAATAATTTGAAAAGAAAATGATTTAATATTATTTAATAAATAATTTGCTTGTAAATAATTGGAATGCAAAATTCGTATTTTAAATTGAAAAAGGTCAAAATCGTTTTAGAATTTTTTATAGATTAATATTTGATATTTTTAAAGTTTTCTTTAAATTGACCCAGTCTTTTGTGTGTTTTTAAATAGTTAAAGTATTCAGCTAGGCACGCCCGAGGGAAAACCCCATACCGTATTTGTATTCATATTCCTATTCCTGTACCGACCCGCCACTCGAGGATCGGTAGTTGCAATATAAGCCCCAGCAGGACTGTCTTTTCCTGCGGAGGTTCAATAAAAACTAGCATTTACACGAGAGCATGTAAATTTTATAAAAATAACAACAGAGCGTTTGATTTACGAACTTCTTAGAAAGGTATTCTCTTGACTATTTGCCTGTACCAGAGAAAGGAAGTGGCCGCCGATAAGCTGAACCAGGTGACTAGGTACGACAGATGATCGTTGCGCAGGGTTACGCGCGTCTGGCCGCCGATAGGACCATTTTTAGCGGCCTGGACATCGTAAATGGCATCCAGGAATACAGGGGCAGCTCCTGAGCAAGCACACATCCGTGGCAGGTCTCGATATAGGTAGATATTGCCTTTATGGTCGGGTGTGAACTGAGGTCGGGCTTCTCCTTTGCGCACCACGGCTGTGAGCTCCACTTCCGACTGCTGTTGACTCAAAGGACGTGTTTCTGGCTCCACTTGCTTGCGGGAGACCCATCCACGATTTACAAGCACAATGTCGCTGAGGGAGTTCGTACATTTTTAAAGAGGATGCATCCGGTTTTTCCCTCTGGGTAACTTACTCTCTGTCTGCCAGCTGAAAAGGGGTCACTATTAAATAACCATTGCCTGAGTCCCGCTGCGAGAAGAGTCCTCCTTGGGTTTCCACGCCATCGGGCCGTATGAGTGATCTTGGACCCATGCGCATTTCTTTATCGTGAAGAAAACGTCCACGAATCTTGACCATACGGTATTCCATGAGAGAAAGGTCGCTGAGACTGAAAGAATAAATATTTTAGTAAGGGGAATGTTGTAAAATTAGGTAGAAAACCTACTCTTCTGGTAAATCCACAGGAGCTGTGTTAAGTTGCTTACTAAGATCCTTGATCAACTGCTCCTTCCAAATCTTTCGCTTTACTTGCCAACAGCCTAAGCCAAAAGTGGTGGCGGGTATAAGCTGATAAAATGTTTTTTCGGATTTAGATTATTCATTTAGATTGCGGAAGATGGGTAAACCCACCAGCAGAAACCATCCCAATGGAGCAATCTTTTCCTTGTCCTTAGCCGCCTTTGTGGGAATACTTGTGGTCCAATCCACCGGCGTTCGCTGTTGTGTCATCTTCCTGGTGACCAATATCTGTGTATTTTTGCTGCCTGGGATGCAGGACACATTCTGCTTATTTAAGGCCACTTGCCGGCACATTTGGGTGCCCAAACGCAGCATGTTTTGTATGATTTAATCCTAATGTGCCTAATTATTTATGTATTTACAATTGGAAGTTATGTGTGCTGGTACGACCGTTGGTTGTTGTTATAGAGGCGCAGAGCCACTGGTCACACTATATTTTAACTAAATCTTTTTTTTGTTTTTGTGAATGAAAACTTTAACAAGTAAAATTGGAAGTTATTTTCCTCAATTGTAAACATATAGTAAAGACAATTTGTCTTATTATTTATCTTTAAAATTCTTTAACAGTAATGCTGTAATACATCTGTTATTTCAATGTTAACTTATATTTAAGACCGAGTTGGCAGTCCGGTTAGGAACAGCTGTTTTAGGACTGTTGTCGCGTGCAATATTTAAACGATTTTGTTTTAGTGAATTAAAATCATTTTTAAAAATGCAGTGCACTCGTGCAGTTGCAAGACTGGCCGGTGGCATAGTCAGAAAGACATGGGTGGGTAGAAAACAGTGCATACCCTTTATGAATTTCAAAACACAAACGTTTGAATGCAGTGCCTGCACGTCTTATATAAACTGGTCTACAATTTTTTAATTGTCTTTATTACAGGTAACACAACCATCTTATAAACAAACTCCGGCGATATTGGGAGCTTTCGAGCAATCCTGCCGTTTGTGTTCATCCACCGGTGTTGTAGACAGTTCCAATAAAACGAAACCCGGCACAGGAGCTCCCACAGAAGACGGCATTCTCAAGAGAGTGCTCAACAAAGTGGGATTCACACCCAACTCAAAGGCGGTAAGTGCAGGATTGTTCGCTTTTTTAGTTTGTATTTATCAAGATTATCTACTTTCAGCGCCTCAAGGTAACCAGTCATCTCCTGTATGAGAGCGTGGCCGATAAGATCAACTATGTGGCCTTCTTCCGCGACTTCAATCTGCCAAATACGTTTAACTCCTGGTTTCTGGTCACCGAACTGCACGTATGGCTCCTCCTAATGCGCTCCATGGCCGAAGGATCGGAAACGGGCGAGGACGGACGCTTCCTGCGTAACTGCATTGTGGAGGCCATGTGGGGAGATGTGAACACTCGTGCGAAGAAGTTGGGAGTAAGTAAATTTCTTAAGCCTAGACTCCGATTCAAAACCTCCATAACTACATTTTCGTTCGTAACTTAATGAAATTAAATTTTTTTAATTTTTAACTCCTTCAAATTTTTAAACGCTAAACAAACTTTTATATCTTGAGTATAGTCACTTTTTTGTCTTTAACAAAATTGAGTAACTTATTTTAACCCAATAATTTTTAAGAAATAACACAAAAGAAATTTATGGGATAACATAAGTTTAAGATATAAATATTATTTCTCAGGAAGTCCACCAGAAATTCTCAACTACAAATATTTAGAAATCTTGAATTTTGAAACCTATTCTTTATGTATCTTTAATACTGAAGCTAACTTGTATGTTTTATTCCCAACAGGCTCACAATCCCTCGCGCACACGTCAGCAAATTGAAACGTTATCCGAGCAGTTCCAAGCGGCTCTCATCACCTACGACGAGGGCATTATGTCCGACGACCGGGTCCTGGCTTGCGCCCTTTGGCGTCGCTTTTTCGAGATGAACTGCGATGATTACGCACAGATCGAGAGATTGGTGAAGTACGTCCGCCAGCAGGCCGTCATGCTGGACAGTTTGTCGCGCGATCAGTTCATAATCAAGCCCAAGGTAGCCTGGCTGGATCTGGACAAGGTGTAATTTTAGTTTTTTTATTATTTTAATAAAGTTGAGAGTATGTAAAGTAACAACTATATGATCAGATCCCTCCCGGACTGATTACTCAGAGCACGCAATTGGCACTTGAGTAGAAAGGCTGTGATCCTACGTTCCGCCCGTTTCCGCTGGGGTTCCTTTAGTTGGGCGAGGACCTGGTCCATCTGGAGGAAGCTGCTTCTAGGGGAGAGTATCTGGGCTGTCTCCTGTTCTTCGTAGATAATTTCCTCCTGGATGACCTGCTCGGTGGGTTCCTCGACGATCTCCTCGATGAGGAAGGTGCTGGGCTGTTGGGTGACTTCACCATCTTCGTAGGTCTCCCACAGAAACTGCACGGGAATTTCCTCTTGGACGGAATCCTCCTGCTTGCCAGCTAAATCCCTAACCTTAGGTTTGCTTTTGGTCTTGGGAGATGACTGATTGTCGGCCAGAAATCGGAGGCGCTCCAAATACGGCCAGGTCGAACCACTGGTATCCGCCCGGCGGAACTCCTTGCGGAATTGGTAGTGCAAGTTATTCCAGCGCATCAGGCAGAAGTCCACTGGGAAAATAATTACGATATAACATTGAAGATATAGAATACCTGGGCCAACTTACCATCACAGCCCATCATCTCAGCTATCCGCGCCCAAATATCTGTTTTGGCCTTCATTGCATCGTAATTCGAGAGCCCAGACCTTTTATAAAGCACTGGATTGGGTTCCACCAAATCTATTAGCTTGAAATCGAAGGGTCGGTTTTTCTTGTAGCTAGTTCGCATTGTTTATAACTATTTCTTCGGCTTTAAGTTTTGTACTGTGTGCCTTAAATATCTGGAATTTATGATGCCTAAATGGCTAGTACTTTACAAAATGTATTAACTCTTGATTCAATTTGGTTGATCCCTTGTTTGAGCTATGTTTGTTTATTTTACAAAGAACAGTAGATACTCAAATAGGTGAACACACTGTAAGGAAACAACTTCTAAATATAAAAACTAGAGGATAAAACGGAAATAGGGAACTCTTATATAAGAAATAATTGTATGGTTAAGATATGTAATATATATTTCTTACTTCCTGTTAAGTATTAAATATTTTTGTTTGTTTTGAAATTTACATAGATTTTCGTGAATACGGGCAATATATTTCAATAGATATTGGTTACTGTCTAATTATAAATCGGTCTTTACTCATTTTTCTTTTGCTGTACTAATTTTATATTCTACCAATTTTCAACATTACTCGTGCACTCATTGAGGGATGACTGTACCATTTACCTGCAGTGTGCCCATCGCCCAACACAAACACTCGTTTTGCAACACTACCACCTAATGCAACCCCTTTGCAGTCTCTTCCACTTTTGGTGCAAGCGCAGTGGCATCACCTGGTAACACTGCTTTTATTGACGACGTAGGAGCTGGAAAATTGCTAAGTGAAAAATTGTGAAAAGTGCCCGAAATACTATAATTTGGCCAGCTATATTACCACTTGCAGCACACCAGCAATGAATATGTAAGTGCGAATACACTTCCAGGGAAAATAAACCCCTTTTTGGCCCGAAATTTAAGTTGCCATGCGGCCGGGGGACGAGTGTCGAAAATCAATAAATTCAAAATGGCAGTAAAAAATGAAAATTACATAAAAACAGATCGCTTGTAGAAAATTTAAACATTTTGGCTACGCATCAAAAGGCTCAAAATTCTAATTTCATGGCACAAAACGCTCGTTGCAGGTACAACGGACAGGTGAACGCCTACGGCGGTGGCGGTGGTGGCGGAGGAGGAGGCGGTGGAGGAGGTGGCATAGCCGGCGGCATGGTGCCAAATCGCATGGGCGGAGGTGCTCCTGGAGGCGGACCCGGCGGAGCGGGTATGTTCCAGCGGAATCGCTCTGCCCCGTATCCCGGTTTCAACGGACACGGACCCTCCAATGGAGGTCAGCGACGCATGAACGGCGGAGGTGGACCTGGCATGGGTGGACCCCGCAACCAGGAAGGATTTGGTGGCCAAAACGGAGGACAGCGCTCTTCCAATCACGGCGCCCACTTGCCCAAGATCGTTTGGTCCGAGGTAAATCTCACACCCTTCCGCAAGAACTTCTACAAGCCCTGCGAATCGGTGCTGGCCCGCACTCCTGTGGAAACAGAGACCTTCCTCACCAGCAATGAGATCACCATCAAGGGCGATCAGGTGCCCACTCCCAGTATTGAATTCGAGGAGGGCGGCTTCCCCGACTATGTGATGAATGAGATCCGCAAGCAGGGTTTCGCCAAACCCACGGCCATTCAGGCACAAGGTTGGCCCATTGCTTTGAGTGGACGGGATCTGGTGGGTGTGGCCCAGACCGGATCGGGTAAGACCCTGGCCTATGTCCTGCCGGCGGTGGTGCACATCAACAACCAGCCGCGCCTGGAGCGCGGTGATGGACCCATCGCTCTGGTGCTGGCTCCCACAAGGGAGTTGGCCCAGCAGATCCAGCAGGTGGCCATCGAGTTTGGCAGCAACACGCATGTGCGCAACACCTGCATCTTTGGGGGAGCGCCCAAGGGGCAGCAGGCGAGGGATCTGGAGCGCGGTGTCGAAATCGTGATTGCCACTCCTGGTCGTCTGATTGATTTCCTCGAGCGGGGCACTACCTCGCTGAAGAGATGCACCTACCTCGTTCTCGACGAAGCAGACCGTATGCTGGACATGGGCTTTGAGCCGCAGATCAGGAAGATTATGCAACAGATCCGCCCGGACCGTCAGGTTCTGATGTGGTCCGCTACCTGGCCAAAAGAGGTGCGCCAGCTGGCTGAGGAGTTCCTTAATAACTACATCCAGGTGAACATTGGGTCGCTGTCGCTGAGCGCCAACCACAACATCCTGCAGATCGTGGACGTGTGCGATGAGAACGAGAAGCTGATGAAGCTGATCAAGCTGCTGACAGACATCTCGGCGGAGAACGAGACCAAGACCATCATCTTTGTGGAGACCAAAAAGCGCGTGGATGAGATCACGCGCAATATCTCCCGTCAGGGCTGGCGCGCATGCGCCATCCACGGCGATAAGTCGCAGCAGGAGCGCGACTTTGTGCTCTCGAGCTTCCGCAATGGCCGGCACTCGATCCTGGTGGCCACCGATGTGGCTGCCCGCGGACTCGGTGAGTAAACGTAGCCCTTGTGGGCCTGCAATGGCCACCTTCCGTTTTTTCTCTCCGTAACCAAGCAATTGTTGCCTGTGGATCAATCAGCATCCCGTGGGGTTTCATTCATTATTTTGTGATTCGTCGTCGACGCCTTCCTGGTTCGTCTGGTCTCAGCGATCCGTCAGCGATGAATCGGCCAACACCGCCCAGCCTCTTCGCTCTTTCTTCCGCTCTGTTTCCAGAACTTTGGAGGTTTTTTGTTCGGGTCAGTTCCGGATTTCACATGTCATTTTCGATTTGAGCTCAAAACGAAATCGAATGATTTAAAGGGTTTTGAAAATGGAATCGTTCTTCGGGTAAAAATACATTTTCAGAGTGTAAATATTCATAGTTGGAAGCATTTTTTGTTTATATTTATATTTACTTAAACAGCTAGATAAACAAATATTTAAAAGTGTTTTGTAAAAAAGCTTTAACAGTACATTTCGCCTAGCTGTATTTGTTCTTTTATATTTCAAACTTATTGTAATTCCATGATATTCAGATACAAAATTGTATACTTGTCGGTCAGCTAAGCGAGTTTTACTGAGCTTTTCAATGGTTTACATCTATTGAACTATATAATTTAGTGAAAGTGAAAACCGGAAAAGGGACCGACTGCTATTCTTTTTGCATGTTCGAATCACCAAAGATCCCCTCTTTATAATTTCCGGAATCGTTTGGGCTTTGGTCAATCAATTTCAAGTGGTTCAATCCCTGGTGGACCGCTTAGTTTCTCTCGATCCTTTTTTCTGCTGAATGATTCTCCGAATACGAAGAAATGGTGTGGGCTCAAATAATGAGGGGAATGTGTTTGTTCTCCATGCATTGCTGGTTATATGATGTTGTTTACTTTTAGTTTGTTTGTTGCTCTCTTGCTCATAGTTTTTAGTTGTCTCTCGTCAATCACATTTTGAGTAACCTTATCGTATAAAGCAATTTATTGTCAGTCAAGGAGTCAATGGCCTAGCAAAATACTCTTAAAAAATCAAAAGTAAATAATCTCAGTGCACCATGAAAAATAACCCGTTAATCCAAGGCGAACAGATGAAACTATGCCTTAAAAGTATATATATTTTTGTTTTTTTTGTTTAGTTTATAGTATAATATGGAGTAACTAATGTGTTGAGTAATTGCAACATTTTGCGGCCCGAATTTTTTGACTGATGCTAATTTTCTGTAGCTTATTTATGTATCATAAAGTATTATATACTATATTACGTCGCTCCTTACTCTATGTATAAAACCTAAATTTGTGTGTGAACAAAAATATCATCAGCACTTTATGAAATGGACTTCGATTTTTCAAATGGCAAAACAAGAAAAAAAAGTTTAAAGTTTAAAGTTAAAAAGTTATATACACAAAGCAGTTAAAGAGAAAAGCTATATATACAAGTTGAGGGTTGAGTTATAAGTTTCTAGCATTGCGGAGATCTGTGGGATCTCCCTCATCACGACCCAGTTGCGAGGACAGGATCTTCAGTGACTCTTCCGCGTAAGCCTAACTCTTATCCATTCTAACCCTAGATCGTCAGGGTAAGTACTAGGCTAATTTACTTCTTCCTAATCATAGCAATATTTCCGCACCCCTCCTCCCTCTGTCCCATCAAATTATCTAACCATCTCGCCCTATAAAACCCCAGCACCCTCTATCATAAGCTTTGATCATTCATTTAATTTTATATTACCTATTTATAATATTAATTTTAATCAAGCCGTCTCTTGTATGCATTAAGCTTAAACATTTATATTACGATTTGTGTATTGAAAGAAAAGATATGAAAGTATGATGAGAAGAAAAGGTCGAGGTCCACATTTCTGCAGTATAGAAAAAACATATATCTATTTGCCAAAGATGTATAGTTATTAATATACGCTAATAGTATTGATGGCGAAATTTTTGTTCAAAGTACAAAACATACCAAAAATTTATACTGAATTACAAACCGACAATATCCATTCAACGATTCGATAAAGTATATTTTAAGTTCTATTAACAACGTTAACAAAACAAATGATCTCACCGATCATTAACCAACACCATTACACGTACACACACACACCAAGACAGAATCGGACACACTCACACAAACCACTAAACACACACAAATAAGTTTTTGTTTTTGTTGAATAGTTTCTTGAGTATTGAGAAAGATTCCTATTTTCGACGTATTGGTTCGATTCGATATTTTTAACGCTTCTTTTCACACTTCTTCAATTTCAAAATTCGAAATGAAAAATATAAATGAAATCAAACAGACGTTGACGATGTCAAGTTTGTAATCAACTATGATTATCCTTCGAACTCGGAGGACTACGTGCATCGCATTGGACGTACCGGACGATCCAATAACACGGGCACGGCCTACACCTTGTTCACGCACTCCAACGCCAACAAGGCCAATGACCTGATCCAGGTGCTGCGCGAGGCCAATCAGGTGAGTTATACGTGGAGCTATTAGTACTAGGAATTGAAATCGTGTGACCTAGGTAAAATGTCTAATATTTTTGTCTTTTTTTTGCTATCAGAAAATTCCAATATGTGGCTGCCATTTATACTTACAAGATTAATTTCAAATAATTTTAAATTAAATTAATTAAACAGAAAAACTATTACAAATTAAAAAGTTTCTGAGCAAATGGATGTCCCGTTGGAAATTAAGAAAAAAAGTTCACGTTTTCGAACCTAGTTGTTTACTTGTTGAATAGTTCAATGTACTTACATTATTTTTTCGCTCCCCTTTGCAGACCATCAACCCGAAACTGATGAACATGGCCATGAGCGGGGGCTACAACAAGCGTGGAGGCGGTATGGGTGGAGGCTATCGCGGCGGCAACGGCTATCAGGGTCGCAACCAGCAGATGGGTGGTGGCTACAACGGCGGAAACAACTACCGCAATAACAACGGACCCGGTGGCAACATGAACCGCAATGCCTTCAACGGCGGCGGCGCTGGTGGTCCACCACGATTCGATCAAAAGCCACGCACCTCGCCGCCGAATCAGGGCGGACAGGGAGGATACCGGGGCCAGGGAGGTGGTGGCTACCAGGGTCAGCAGCAACAGCAGAGCGGTGGAGTGCCGTTCT